CACCCCGACAGACGAGTTGTCATTAGAGTGTGGATTTTTGTGCTGTGAAGAAGCTTGACAAGTTAATTATTGTAAGGAGAGCTGTATAGAAAAATACTTTTTGTTCCACTACACTTGCCTTGGTCCATCTCACTGTGTTTCCAGCCGCTAAGGGCCGCCCTGTTACAACGTGGAAGATAAACTTGCAGAGCTAGATAAAGCAATTGGGCATACTTCAAAAGGAAAGTCACCAGGACTGGATGGGTTAACAGTGGAATTTTATATTCATTTTTGGAATGATATCAGGGTACTGCTTTGTAATGCCTTTTTGGAATGTACTTCGTCTGGTCATCTCTGTCGTCTACCATGAAAAGGGGTGTTATCACATTAATTCCAAAACCCAGTAAGGACAAACTATTGCTGGATAATTGGAGACCAATTACTTTATTATGCAATGAATACAAGTTGCTTGCTCATATTTACTCCAATAGATTGGATTTGGGGCTATCCAAAATAGTGGATGAGTGCCAGTCACCCTTTGTGAAGGGTAGAAACATACATAACCACACTAGACTGATTCTTGGCCTGCTAGACTACAGAAAATTTATCACAACAGACAGTTATGTGTTGTTTCTGGACTTCTTCAAGGCTTTTGACACAATCGAGTGTTCCTTTTTCTTAAAAGCTTTAGAATTTTTGGGCTTTGGAAGTAAATTTTGCAACAAGGATGAAATACTTTACACTGTCATCAGTAGCACGGTCTCCTTGAATCCAGGAATGACTCCTAGATTCAAGGTGCAACGAGGAATCCGACAAGGATGCCCTATTTCTTAACACTATTAATCAAAAATTCTAACGACATACAAGGAATATCAATTTTTAATAAAGAGTTCAAAGTCAGTTTGCAGATGATACATCTATCTTTTTGAAAGATAAATCAATGGTAGATAAAACTTCCAAGTATTATCTCAATCTTCTCTAAAGCTTCCGGTTTATCTCTTAATATCAAAAAATGTGAACTACTCCCGATTCATACAAACTTGTACTGTTGTACTGTTCCAAATTTTCATTTGTATTATTACCTGTGTTATCCTCTTTGAGAGTTTGTATTTTACAATTGCTCAATTAAAAAAAGAAATCAAGGTAGCTAGTGGCCAGCTGTTTGCCACACACAACCTTTTGCAGCTGGCAGGTGGTGGGCGGCCCTCTTCCAAAAAAGCAAAGACTGCTTACTTTCTTATGGGGAAATGGGTCGTTCACAAGTAAATTTACTAACCTAGAACATATTTAGAAAACAACAAGAGGAATAACTGAGTGTACACTGAAGCCAAAGTGTCTTAAACCTGCATTCTGTCTGAAGACCACCAGATGCTAATTGCTGTAGTTTCAAAAACACTTCAGGTCCTATAAATGTCTATGGAAAAGCCTGTGCAATTTTTTCGGTCGCGCGATTCAGCTCCTGCTCAAACTGTACGATTGACTCGCAGGGGGTAGAAGTTCGTAGGTCACGATGCAGGGTCTCACACTATACG